CTCTTATACTCACACCATAATTATTTTATTTTTCACAAAAGCCTGCAGTCTATAAATTAAAATCTAAACATGCCAAATGATAACTTGAACGAACTCCGAACGATGCACCCTTAAGAATACAAACAACGTTTCCTTAACTCCTTCGTGGCTGACGAAATTATTCAACTGAAGATTAGGCGATGCATGAAACATGACTGAACATTCTAACGGAACGAACAATGCGCTACGCCCTCACGAGAATAACAAGAACGTAGCAATAAATATTTTAATCGAGCGAAGAACGCGTCGTATTTACAAAAGTGTATCGATCATGTCCGTCGAACCGTGTTCTACGTTTTACAGGAATAGATTCGATTGAGAGGCGCATTATTCGTCGAGGCGTTTCTGAATTATATTAAATCACGTTCGCGAGATTTACAGCAGACCTCCTTAGGGAACTGTTTGATCAGGTAAAACATTTTTCAAGACTGCCATGCCTCCCAGGCGTGAACGTCGACGATGGTTCAATGAAAAAAGAAAGAAAAAAAAATTAAAACTGATCTCTTATACTCACACCATAATTATTTTATTTTTCACAAAAGCCTGCAGTCTATAAATTAAAATCTAAACATGCCAAATGATAACTTGAACGAACTCCGAACGATGCACCCTTAAGAATACAAACAACGTTTCCTTAACTCCTTCGTGGCTGACGAAATTATTCAACTGAAGATTAGGCGATGCATGAAACATGACTGAACATTCTAACGGAACGAACAATGCGCTACGCCCTCACGAGAATAACAAGAACGTAGCAATAAATATTTTAATCGAGCGAAGAACGCGTCGTATTTACAAAAGTGTATCGATCATGTCCGTCGAACCGTGTTCTACGTTTTACAGGAATAGATTCGATTGAGAGGCGCATTATTCGTCGAGGCGTTTCTGAATTATATTAAATCACGTTCGCGAGATTTACAGCAGACCTCCTTAGGGAACTGTTTGATCAGGTAAAACATTTTTCAAGACTGCCATGCCTCCCAGGCGTGAACGTCGACGATGGTTCAATGAAAAAAGAAAGAAAAAAAAAAGAAATGCTATAAACGAGAAATATTAAAGACAGTGTCTGACAATGAACAAGTGGTTTACATTAAAGGGAAACAAAATGGAGAGGAGGAGCTGCGACATATTTTATTTTACTGTCGGTTATAATTTATCTTAGAATTCTTACGAGGTACTCTTAACTATTAAAGTTAAGTGATAGTTGGAACTTATGGGAGAGTTAGGATGCAAGGTTTTACAGTCGTAAGGAAATGTTAATAAACGTCGTTCGCAACTTTTACAATCATCCTCTTGAAGTTGGCCACCGTTGATCTTGATTGAACATTCTTGCACCTTGATAACCGAAGCTGCTGATGAACGGGAATCCCATTATAGGAGATTTACAATCGGGCCCTGTTTTTCGATGCACAAGGCGAGCTCGGAGCGTTCGGTGGTCGATACAAGGGGATTTTCTCGTCCGCAGGGAAGGAATTTAATGGAGGACCGGAGTAACGGTGGTTCGAAAGGATTACGGCCGGAGGGGGTACGGCGGGAAGGGTAGATCTAAATGCGGAGGCGGCTCCGTGTGGCTCCTTTCGTGCCAACCGTCGTGGGTGTGATACAGTCCATAATTCACACCGTTCGTCGCTATTTTCTTCAGTCCTTGGATACTGGACAGGATCAGGGCCATTTTTGCTAGCAGCAATGCCTTGCCACCGAGAACTGCCAGGAACTGGAAGCCCATTGGTACGAGGATCGACCCCATCAGTAGGAAGCCCATCATCAAAAAAGGGACCATGTGGTTGTATCTGTTACGGTGACGACGTCTGCGACCTTGGATTTCAATTTAATGTTGTCTTATTGCAATTAAATTTATTTATATTTATCAGTAGTAGTAGTAGTAGTAGTAGTAACAGTAGCAGTAGCAATAGTAACAGTAGTAGCAGTAGCAGTAGTAGTAGTAGAATTTTTATTACGAGTACCTGGCGTAATCTTTATGCCTATATTTTGTGTACAAGTCTTACAATTAGCATCTGTTATTAAAAGACTTCTATACAATATTATTACTATTAGTATTCTTCTATACAATTTTATTACTATTAGTATTCTTCTATACAATTTTA